GGGGGGGGGGGGCAGGGAACTCCAGGGTAAAAGTAATGGGTCCTTCTTTCGGGTCAAAATCTGAGATTGTATCTCTGAGGGTGTTATTGTGCTACACGCTACACTTCTACAAGTTTTTTTAATTTATTAACATTGTTTTGACATATCTTTTTCACAAATGTTTGACAAGTTTTAATCATCCTCTTTTTCAAGTTAACCAATTATGTTTTGTCACTTTGCTATGATATTTTGATATAGATATTGTTACATTGATGTCAAACTCCACCTACAGAAACATCAAGGTGAAGAGGAGATATGTAATTGGTTAGCGATAAAGAGCATAATTAAAACTTGTCAAAAAGTTGTCAAAATTGTATTTTTCTTTCCAACTTTCATTCAATATTCAAGAGCAAGTAGAATTAAGATAATTTCAAATCAAATATATCAAAATATAGCAATTTTTGCAACCCAGAATCCCAATTTTGACCCCTTGAGCATACGATTAGAGTATAGCACTCCTGATGCATGTATATGGATACGACTCAAACAAAGAATCTTATTTTCAAAGACACTGAAATGGGAAAATTTTGTGCTCAAGCTTAAAGGCTCATTTTTGTATGAACTCAAATTACTTTGTTTTTTTAAGGTTTCACAAAGCAGCAGGCAGAAACCTTGACAACTTGTTTGATTGAAATTGTGGGTTCTTGTGTTACGAGTATTGGTAGTAATTATGGTTCAAAACTTGATCAGGTATTTATTTAATCATTTATTTCATATTTTGATAAATTCTGTTATGATGGAGGTTATTGTGTAAGACCAATATAAAGTCAGTGTATGTGTCAGGGGGCAAGGGGCTATATGCCCTATGCCGACTTTTAGTCCAATGCTTTTTAAAAAAATTATATTGGTAAAAAAATTCTATAGGATAACCGAACAAGTGCAGCTATTGTCATTCTCTAAGAGTTATTCATTTTTTAATTTCAAATATTATTTTTGAAGGAAAGACTACAAATGAAAGTACAATCATCAGTTGATGAAATTAGGTAAGTATATCTGGGAATCTGGGATATTAGTCTTTTAATATTATATTTTAATATTTAATATCATAATTTTTCTTTCATCCTTCCTTCCGTTCTCTCGTTCTTTCTTTTTCTCTTCCTTCTTTCCTTTCTTTCTCTTTCTCTCTCTCTCTCTTTATTTCTTCTGTTTTGTTATTTATTCATTCATCTATTCTTTCATTCCCTCTTACTTTTCAATATTTAGCTTTCTTTTGTTTTCTGTTTTTCTTTGTTCTTCTTTAATTATTTTCTTCCATCAATATTAAATCAAAGTGGTCTAATTTCTCATTTATTTTAACCTTACCTGAACTAAATCCTTCATTTTTTTTTTCTTTAGTGACTTTTATTTGAATTTATTTTTTAACATTATAATATTTTTCAGAAATGAAATGCTCATTCTAGAAAAGAGTAAATTTTCCCAAATCCAGGAGGAAAATTTAGTAAGTTGGTCATGGATTTCATATGCATTTGTACTAACTTTCATTTAATGACTGCAAGTATTCATTAATTCATAAAGGAGTTTAAATAATGGTAAATTTTATTGAACCCTGACATTTTGTTTTTAAATAGAGACTAAGAGAAAAAGTCACTGCGATGGCAAATCATTTAGAGGTAATAAAAACTATGACTTTTCATTCAACTAGTAAAATAACAAGAAACAATTAAAGGACAGAAAAATATTGCTTTTCTGTTACATGTAATACCTTCAGTTGATATACAGATCTTGTAAAACTCATTAAATAAATTTATTATTATTATTAATATTATGATGGTGATGACGATGGTGATAGTGATAAAGATGAAGATGGTGGTGGTGATGGTGATGTATGGTGACAGTGATGGTGGTAATGGTGATTGTGATGGTGATGGTGATGGTGGGCCGGGGGTGACAGTGATAGTGGTAATGGTGGTGGTAATGGTGATTGTGATGGTGGTGGTGATTGTGATGGTGGTGGTGATTGTGATGGTGATGGTGATGGTGATGGTGGGGGTGACAGTGATGGTGGTAATGGTGCTGGTGATTGTGATGGTGATTGGGATGGTGATGGTGATGGTTCTGGTGATGAAGATGAATATGATTAATAGTATAACAATTAATTAGATATTAATTACCCAAAATTTAGACAAATGATATATGCTTAGACTGTGCTCCCTCCCTAAGCCAATGCCTGTGTATGTCATTAAATCTGCTAAATTCAATGTTTTCAGGACGAAGTAAGCAAGTTAAAATCTGGAGTAAAGTTGGACATGAGCTTAGAAAAGAGTCAAACAAGAGAAGAGGTAAATTTTCCTTGACATTTATCCTTTTGACTGCTTGATTTTTGTAGTCCAAATGCACTACTCATCATGTTTCTAATGTGCCACTGTGTGGTAGGAGTGCATGGCCAGCGCAGGAGAAGAGTAGATTTTGTTTGAGTAGTGGAAGGAAAGGATCGGATTTTATGTGAGTGGGAAACAGCGTGATAAGTCATAAATGATTCAAAGCCATTTCAATGTCCAGCATGTCATATACCATATCATGTATTTACTTTGTTGTGAAATGTGATCATCCGGGTGAGTGTAGTCTTGAGAAAGACTGTTGTTGGTGGTGACTGACATTTCAACAACTTGAGCGGAAGTCATCTTCAGAGTCCAGTGAGAAAACTTTTACTGTTATCATGCATTTCTCCCTCATATGATACCATGCAAACATGTAGTTGTTGTACTGCAAGTATTTTGATTGGATTAATAGCTGTTTTTACAGATACTGTGGCCATTTTGAATTTTATTATTTTAATTAAGATATTATGTGATGCCAGGGAGCAACTATATTGAAAAATATATAGACTGCACAGGGTTATCAGGGTGTTTTTGTATATTAACTTTTTCTAGAAAGCAATTTAATTTGCTGATAGTTGCAACAATATGCAAAAGACTGCCAAACAGGGTATGATTTTCAGCAATTTTACTCTGGAACAGGGTATATAAAATCGCACTCGCTCTGGAACAGGGCATATGAAATCACACTCTCTCCTCTCTGGAACACGGTTTTCAGCGATCTTGCTCTGGAACAGGGTATGAATTTCAGCGATTTTTACTCTGGAACAGGATCAGGGTTCAGAGGGCTCAGCGGCACATCCCTACCCTAAACGGGCAAGAGTACCCCCCCCGGGATCGGAAACCTCTTCCTTGTTGCTTCCCACTCATACGAAAACCCCTCTATAAACCCCTTACCATGGTCATTGAATAAAGGGGCCATTGTGCTTGCTTTCGATTGGTTCAAAGTAGTCATCATTTCAGTACCCTTGCTTTGGCGCGAACTTCCAGTTATCATGATATATTTTTTCCTTTGCAGCTAGCATTTCGTGACCAGAAAATAAAAGACAATGGAAACAAAATAGAAACTGAGGTATTTTTGATAATTCTAATTTTTTCTAGAGAAGAAAAATAAACTAACAGTAAATATACCTGATTAGTTTTCACAGAATTGAAATATGGTCACCAATTTGAATAACTACTGTTCTGGACTGACAAGCCTCATGTTTACAGGCAGTTTCGGGTTATGTTTTTTCAGATTACCCCTCTCCCTGCCCCCCACCCCCACCCCCATGCACAGCTATTTTCAATAATTGGCAATGCTCAGAAATGGAGAAAAAATAATACAAAACTACACCCTCAAATGATTGCTACGCAGGATATGTTTTCACATGTATGAGAGGCTAGTCAGTCCGGAACAATTTTTATTCCAATTGGTTGCCATATTTCAATTTGATATATAATTTTAGACTTGAATATAGAGTTTCCTGTGCTGTGATTGGTCGAGCGACCAGTGATTATGGGATATTCACTTCACCCTTGATGAATAATTGTTGAATAGTGCTGTGTTTTTTTTCTTCAAAAAAACGTTTTACTTCGTTTGAACAGATTGCCAAACTAGGAACCCAATTAGAAGCACAAAAGTTGGATCTCATTAAATACTTAGTTGGTAGGTGTGAAATTAATGTTTGTTATACTGTTCGTCATATTGAACATTATACTGTGTTTGTCATCTAAAAGATACAACATACTGCATGTGTTATATAAAGCTAACGTTGCAGTGTTATATTAATTGATTTTAATACTGGGTGTTGTATATGAAGCAGCATTATAAAAATATGCACCATACTATATAATATATATATATTCGATTCCCATTGAAGCTTGAAATCATTTTTTCAGGTCTTTCTTTACAGCGTTCACTTAGATCGCTCATTCACTGTGATGATCAACACATCTATCATTAATATATAAATTATATATCATAATGCAATGTGCACTTTGTATAAAAATTGTTCTAAGGGACCATTCATAAATCATGGTTAGAGAGCTATGTAAATTTTGTGGGGAGGTTCCCTAATTATTTTTTAATCCAAAATGTAGGGGGGCTATCAAAAATGGGGATCATTTGATATTTATGTCAAACATTATCTACAGTTTTGAAGAGAGGACAACTATCAGGTTTGTAAATGGGGGGGGGGGGGGGGGACAAAAAAATAGTTGTTTTAAAACCCAGAATCCACATTGCCTCCCCAGACCCATAAATTATATACGGTCGCTAACTAGTCTGTATCTAAAACATCACATTTTCGTTTTCATTTTTGTTTTTTTTTTGGTTGACAGGAAGTTTACTTTCCTTATCTACGGTAACCCTTGCGATCTGGAGGTTCCTCAAAACCTAATGGAAGGAAGTCTAAAGCATATTAACATTACATATTAAATAAAGTTTGTAATATTGTTATGTACATGCACTTGAGAGGCAGATTTAGGGCCCCGTCCACACTATGCCGGATAAATTTGAATCAGAATTTTTATTTATTTGGTTCCATTTCGAAAATTCGTTTTCGGTGAAGAATTGTACCGGATTCACCTGGACTAATGTGGACAGTAGGTCTAACCGAATAAATAAAAATTCGGATTCAAATTTATCCGGCATAGTGTGGATGGGGCCTAGGGAATAAGGGATTTACCCAAACCCCCTGAATCAAGATCGACCTCTTATATGAAAACTACTAACCTTTTACATCATCTTGATTTTGTTTGCCAGTTTGAACCTTCCCTGTGAAAATTTGTTCATGGATTCGTCCCCCTAATTTGTCAGACTTCCTCTTTGCCACTAGAGCTGTTCAACTGAATTTTCTTGATAATGAATTATTATGTAACAAGGTTATCCCTCTATTGCTGGGTTAATTTTCACTTGACATCATCTTCTGTCTCATGCAGAATGATCATCAGCTGAATTACAAGTTTTCAATAGATTTTTTTCTGGTTGACAGCACATGGTGGTCAGCATTTATAATAATAGTTTATTTATCCACATAACACCTAGGAGCATTTCACATACTCGTTTAAAATACGCATGTTTGACCACCATTTAGAGCAGATAATGAGATTCAAAGACTTTTATCAACTGATCTTGATAACCAGCAATTAAATAAATAATATTTAAAGAAATTAAACATCGTTATTTCACGAGGGTAAGACTCAGTAACCAATTGCTTTCAAGTCTATTCCACTTTTCCATGATTGAATTGGAATTTAGAAGTTGAAAAGCATTGTGGGCTTGAGAAGTTATAAGTCTGGCAAATGAAATCCCAGATTTTGGCATAAACAGCAACAAACATATAATTCACCTTTTGCTCAAAGTAGGGGGTGTTTTCTAATTAAATATGTATACAAGAACAAGTTTTTAAATGTACCCAAGTTTAAAACTTAAGGATATATATTCCTGCGACTATTAAATATAAAGTGTGATAATAGTATAAGGCATCAAATGTTGGCCCTTTTAATACCATCTTTGCCTTACCTCTCCCTCCAATCCTAGCATGAGAATGACTGAAAGAGCAGCGATGGCATTGTCTTTTTGTTGGCCTCATTATCGTTAATAATAATGTGCACATGTACTTCTATTATGCTAGATAAGAAACACGTTAAATATAAATGACATAAAGGAAAGTACAATAAAAGTATGTTAAATTAGTTAACTACTGTTAATTGCTAAAAATCTCATGTGTGTTCTATTCAATTTTCTGAAACTTATACCCCATTCACACCTAAACATGTTTAGTTAAACTGTTTTTATTAGGAAAAAAATTGAGAAACTAGAAACCTACAATATAATGAAACTTCCTAAAATATTATCAGAGCAAGACAAAGGATAGGTTTACATGCATTATTTCACCAAAGATTGTGCAGTGTTCGTATGTGTTCATCTTTTATTGGGAGCATTTACAGATCCTGTTCGTTCACATGGTGATGATTTTATGGAATATATTGATCCTATACTTTCTTCTATGTTGAGAGGAATTTTCGATAATCCCCTTTAAAACCTAACTGACAAAAAACATGGCCCCCCTTGAGATCATGATACCCCCCTCTACGTAATGAGCCCTCCCTTACGAAAAAGAGTGGGTGTGTGAGGGGAGGGAAAAGGTGGGAAGGTAGGAAGCAAGCCTGTTATGGCCCTAAACCTGCCCTTAATAATTTATACACAGACTAATTAGTGAATCCCACAAAGTATTAATACAATCATTATTATGGGAGTTGTAATTCTCATCTTTCTTCTGTGAGATCCACTGGTTTCAGCAGCAGAAAGCATGTTTCAAACTGCTAATATTTGCTCAATAAATTCTCAGCACTTATATTCTATGTATTACAAAAATCTGAATATAAGAAATATCAATATGTTTATTACCAAAATAACACATTCCACATACAATTAACAACAATTATATTAATTTTAATTATAATGAAAGCTTGCTACAGTATCTAATGAATAAAAGGAAGTAATATTCATTCTGTTAATAAATCTGAGTCGAAATATCACACTAGTGTGCAAATGAAAATGAAGAATATGATAAAGCAATTCTATATTTAGATCCACATACTCTTTAAAATGAAATTGTAGTTGAACTTCAGTTGAGTGCTAAGAAAGCACCCATCAAGCTCATAATCATGATTATTCAAGTAAAATACTTCTTAGAGCTTATTGCTAATCGCATAATGTAAGAAAATATAATCTGTTTGGAGCTTCCATGCAGAGAACGTATGATTGTCATACGATATCTTGATGTTTACTTTTCCTTGTTTAATATTTTTGTATGTTTTTCTTTTTCCTTTTTTTGTTGCTGGCCAATGATTAGTTCATAACTATAAACAAGTACTGTCTTGTAAATTTGCCTCTTGCTTGTGAACATTAAAAGTTTTTTAAGAATTCCTCAGCGCAGATACGTGCCCTAGCGTTGAGAGTCAACTTCATCTCACTGATTTCTTTATCTATTTCCTCCATAAACTGAATGACAAAATCCACTAGCTTGTGTYTGAACATCTCTTCAGTGTGGAAGTTAGTGATAAGGAAACTAATGTCGTATCCTTCCACCGGCTTGCGTCGAAGGACGAAAAAACTCTCGGCTCGCATCATCATAAAGCGCATGAATTTCTTACAGAGGATTTTCTCGATTTCGTCCGCTTGTTTCACTGCGATGCTGACTCGTAGCGAGTTCACAGAGCCTTCGATGAGAACCTTTTCCTTCTCGTTTCGACTGATGACAACTGGAGTGAGAAGCAGTTCTTTACAACTGCGCACTTCGACTTCGGGTTTATTGTGCCTCTCTACCACCTGAGAATCGAAATTTTCTAGACACATTGCAGCCGTGAGGGTTGAACGGACAGCATTGAGGTAAGGCCTTAACGTTGCAGCCATTTTTCGTCGTAAAAAATGGCAGTAAAAGTGCTGAAACTTCAGTAGACTCTTTCAAAATGGCTGAACTTCCGACCTCCTCCCTCTTGACACTACGCATGCGCCTTTCTACTTCCGCTGATTCAGCGCAAAGCACCACGGGATTTCTCTACGGCGTGGAGCCGCCATTTTGTATGGTGGGCAGGAAAAATGAGTTAAAAAATCAGTCGTTTTGGCTCCCCTTTCTTTAGTTCAATTCAATTTGATCTACACAGATGGCTTCCTAAAGGGTGTATCTAAACACCTTTGAAGCCGTTTATTGATTTTTTTGAATTCTCAGACTCGTTATTGTTATTTGAAAGTTGTTCGGCGTTCGACGCAAAATCATGAGCGCCAGTGATTCGTTGTCCTTCGCGTTGGGGCAAATCTCGTCTGCCGTGAAAGATCTCAATAAAAAGACATACAAGTTAGCTGTGGCTGAGATTCACGAGGTAAGAAATAGTTGATTAACGTTGATTGAACGATCAAAACGTTCGCTTCTTCAGGCACAGTTTTAGCATGACTTGTCTCTACCYGCGTCAGAATTCTATTCTTATTTTGTGATCAGTGAAGCTTGTACAAAGTCATTTTAGAAATTTTTTAAGCGTTAAATTGTACCTAGCTACCAGTTGGTTATTCTCTTTGACAGTTAGTGTAAATCATACAAAAATTTTCGATTTTTTTATCCGAAAATGTCTTTGTTTGAAGTTCTCTCAATTGTCATTCACCATCTTGTAAATATGCATAATGTACAAAAGAAATTATGAACTTGTATTTATTAATTTTGTAAATAAAGAATATGAGATATTTATCCTCAAAAGAAAGTATATGATATTAACTCTTTTACTTCCAAGTTTAAGATTTTAAACGGACAAAGATGGTTGGTTTTGAAATTTACTAGTGTTGGGCTACCTGTGGTTCGATTCAGATATCAAGCTTTACTAGTAAATAAAGGAGCAATACTCAAGGGAATGACATGTGAAATGGGAAAAATTATACCCAAAGTTAAATACCAACCCTTAAAAATGCACATGCTTAATACCCATTTACCCCCTTAATGTTTTCACATTTTTATTTTAATTTATTCTTAGCTGATTGAGAAGCATGGATTTGAAGCAGAGCGGCATTTTTTCCAAGTATTATTTTCATCTATTGATTTTTCTGCTGATGCAAAAAATTCTGGGAAAGATTATCAACAGGTTAGTTGGGAATAATTCATTCAAATTAAGACTGTCCTAATCAGATTAAAATGTCAGACTGCACACATATTAGAAAGTTAGTTATAAGCAAAAATATATCATTTCCAGCACTTTCTTTCATGAAAAATCAAGTGATAGATGTGATGAGGACAATAAAAAACCCTGAATATATATAACAGAAAAGTATTTCAGAATATGGATTAGGTCAACTTGCTAAAAATGTGACCTGATTTATTTTGTGCTGTCAAAACGGTAAATCAATGGCACTTTGCTTGTGTGAATTTTGAACCCTGGTACAGTATAATTTTTCTGTTTTGGTTTGATGTGATAATTAACTTTTTTACAGTACTGATGAAAAGGTAAATTATACACCGTGAAAAGATGAAAAATCTGTTTTTTCATCTTTTCATGGTGTATAATTTACCTTTTCATCATTACTGTTTCATTAGAAACACCGACGCAGCTCACACTAGTTTTTAGCTAGTTATATCTTTTTTTTACAGTACGTTTGCTTTGAGCAAAGTCCACCATTCTCATAGAATACTTGGACTAAGTTAGTCTAAATACGTTAATTTTGAAATAAGGAAATGAAATTATGCCTTTATCTTTTTTTCAAGGTTCAGTTTTTAACCCAAGAATGTCAGACTCTCATTGTCAAGCCAAACTTTCCATCCATTTTATGCTACGCATTTGAGAATCCCGACCAAAAGCAGAAAACCTTAAAGCCGTCAACACAGCTCTTACCCAACGTCAGCAGAACTCTGAAACTGAACAAAGTACAAGAGGTATATAAGAAATAAACCAGATTATCTTGATTTCTTTTGAAAGAGTTACTTGTTGGTTCTCTAGCTTTCCTTTCTCGATGCTTTAACATCACCTGTAAGGATGACTCAACATCTTCATGTTTTTGTGGTTATTAGGTTGTTTTTGGGCTTGGGCTACTAAAATCAGCAAATGAAGAGCTTAAAACTCATGGTAAGTTTGCTTAGTTAGGTTTTGGTTTACATATATTGATTGCTACAATCATTGCCGTTATTAGTTAATATGATGTCATTTTAATAAGGGAATCAAGGTCAGATTGTTGAACTAAGTCCTTGAGCAGTTGATATGTTGTTGTCTCTACTCTCCATTGAAAGAGTTTTTCTAGGTTCTCTAGCTTATCTACTTTTTTTTAAAATGAACATTTTCATTTTTGTTGAGGGTTGTAATATTATAAGTATGGAATAAAAAATCACAGAAAATGTTTCCTTTCTTTAGCTGGCCAGTTTGTTAAACAGAAGTTACCAGATCTTCTGCGTTCGTATATCGATACAGGTAATATAAGATAATCCATCTCTCATTGATTAATCCTCATATAAAATGTTTGTCTAAAACTAAGTTATGGTTGGGAGGGGAGGGGGGTAAGGTTGAAGTATGAATTGTTGGCGCTATTTATATGATGTATGCTATTATGAAGAGTCTCCTGTAGCTCGGAGGTAGAGCATTTGGGTAAAATAAAGAAGGCCATGGGTTCAATTCCCATTAGCAACTTAGTTTGGTTTTTTATTTTGGGGGTTGGCGAGAGCTGGGTGATTGAGGGGGGGGGGTGGGGGGAGCAGGGGGGTTGCTTTTAAAAATAAATCGTAGCCCTCCCCCTTCCATTCAGTAAGAAATTCTTGACCCTTCTATTTAGTCAACAAGGAAAAGCTTTCATCAAATTAAGAAGGTTTTACCCTCTAAAAAAGTTAAACTGTTTACTGATGAGCCTTACCTTTGAAGCCCTAGCCCTACTTCCCCCCAATAAAGCACCCATTATTTTCCAAGTTCCCTTGTGCTGTGACATGCTGAATAATTTCATCTCAAATGCATGCTTTTTTTGTAAACCAGATACTGGTGGAGGTCAGGAGGGTGGTCTGTCAGACATAGCAATAGAAGTTCTTCACTGTCTCCTGACTCATGTCCTCCATGGACCAAGAGAACTTGTTGGTGTTGGTGAAGACCAAATCAATGCCTTTCTGGACACGTTGAGAAGAGATTTTCCCAAAGAACGGGTTCCAGTAGTGCTTGCTCCTTTGCTTTATCCAAATGCTCCAGACTTACCAGCTAACAAGTAAGACTTTCTTTTGCTACTGTTTTCATGGTGCCAGCGGATCTGAGAAAAAATGGTAGCCAATCAGAATCAAGAACATTTGCTAAACAGTGTTGCTTTTATGGGTTTCCAATGTTTTAATTTTTCCCTGGTCAACTTTTGTTGTCACTTTTTCAGATYGGCTGGTGATCGTTGATTAAATAAAATAATGATTGTTTAATGATGATCATAATGTTGGTGAAGATGATGGCGATGGTGAAGATGATGATGATGATGATGGTGATGATGATGATGATGATGATAATGATGATGAACGTGATAATGGTTATGATGATGATGATGGTGATAATAGTTAATTTCACCACATTTATACTTCATAGACTTGATTTTTATAAGTAGAAATGGGAATAAACAAAAATATGAATTGCTGTTTTTCAATCGTTCCCAAGAGAAAGAAATAACAAAAGACATGGAGGCCATATTGGATAATATAGCAAACGAAGCAACTGACCAATCTTTTATTAAATTCACCCAACATGACGGCCGTGAAAACCATCCATTGTCTTATCTTATCTTTGAACAAAAGATGTTCAAAATTTTAAATTTCTTCACACCTTATTTTACTTTTTAATTAATAACAGACTTGTCCCTGACTCAAATCCTCCTGTTAAGGTTGTTGTAAGTATTGCCAAGAATATAACAAACATGATACAAAATATAATAGCAAAATTATTATTTCCCTATTCCTGTGGTGCATGTTACGTCATAGCCACCATATTGGTTGTCTATACAAAGCGTTCCTAATTAACTTCTATTGTGAACCAAGATGGTGGCTGTTAGATTGTTTTACATTCAAGGGATTTTTTTGCTTATGTGTTTGTACTTCAAGAATAAAATGCTTTGCACCATTACGTGATGACAGGAGGCACAACAATAGAGTCTCCGCCCCCCCCCCCCTGGAAAACTGAATTCTTTCTCTCTTCAAGAATAAAATGCTTTGCACCATCACATGATGACAGGAGGTACGACAATAGAGTCTTTTTCCCCCTGGAAAACTGAATTCTTTCTCATGTAAATCAGATTAGACCAGATTCAATTGTTCTTGCCTCCTGTCATGGCTGCCATCACATGATGGTGCAAAGCCTCTCTTGGTGTTAATCAATCTTCAAGCTGAAAATAGTCAGTAACTAAGATGTTCCAATGCTTTCTAATCCTAGACGGAGGACGACCTTGCAGAGTTGATGAAAGAGATTGGTTATGTTTGCTGTCAAAGGTAGGTAGAGCTGGGGGTTACAATTACTAGAATGTCGTTTTTGTTTGATTATTATAAAATGTATATAACTGTTGAATTTCACTTGAAACATTGTACCTTGATAATGGGTGCTTAGCCCAAAAGCTCAGTTATTAAATGTTTTGTCATCAAAGCAGTTAAAAAAAATCTATAAAATCTATTTCGTTTGTTTGTTTATAGTATTGAGGACTGTAGGAATACATTAGTACAGTTTGGACTTCGAGACATTAAACCTGCTGCTATTGCCAGAGCTATTGGTAAGCTTACTGTTCTATTATACTAGTTTATCATATAGCTTAGATAGTATACACACTATGATTGGTTGAAGAATGTGCTGTATTAGTGAACAGAGCATACACAAGCTCACCCACAGCTTGTCCTGCTCTTCAGAATGTCATTCATCTTAATTACACATACTTACTATGTGCTATATTACTAAAAGGAAGCAAAAAGTTGTTTTATTTGTGATTTGAATAAGTGGGAAGCATACAGTACTGACTTATATTACTGCAAGGGCTTTTCCATTGAGAGATAAACATAGAGACCCACAAGTTTATCGTTGTTACAATTTCTCTAAAATATTTGCTTCAGGTATGATGGTAAAAACTGCTTATGGACTTGCACAGCATATACCACTTCAGGTAGAATCATTTTATGAACTATCTATTTGAATCATTTATGTGAGTTAAGCATTGTGTGCATAGAACATGTTTATGATGGTAGTGCTTGTGAGTGAAAAGTGTCCCCAATTAGTGCAAGTGTGCAAGAACAACTAGACATTTAAATAAAGAGTTATTAACCTCGTTCTTACTAATTTTTGTGATTTTTGAGATGTAAAAAATTTGTGAAATTTTAAGAGCGTGAAAAAAGGATTGTGCGAAATTAGTACAATATGAATATTTGTGAAATTTGGCTCAAATTTCATGAAATTAAGTTAATGCAAATATTAGTAAGAATAAGGTATTTATTATCATGATATATACTGTTCAATAATGAGTCAAATCACCTCCCAGCATTGATTGGAGTACTTTAATGATGTGGCAGCCATCTTGAATCACAAGGCATTATGGGTTTCCCAGGGGGCATGACAAAATTGTTCTTAATCTCGTTTAGTGAGTAAATAATAATTAAATATTGTTAAATAATGTGTCTTCCAGCAGAACCTGAACAGCAGTGCCAGCGCACTTGATAAGAAACCAGAAGATGAAAACCAACTGTCTACCTGGAATATTGAGATTTTTGTCCAAGTTGTCAAGGAACTGGTAATGTCATTGAACAAACAAATGATTGAATATAAATATGTGATTGAATTGCTGGGTTTCAATCGGCTTGATATCTGTGGTCAAACAGTGGCTACTATTCGCCCTCAAACAGATTGAAATTCTGTTTGTCGAAGTATTATGATCATCCTGGTGGATGTAATCCTGAGAAGGACTGTTTGATGGGACTGATGTTTCGACAACCTGAGCGGAAGTCATCTTCAGAGTCAAGTGAAGAATAAAGTCAGATTGGTCATATTTCTACTGAATTAAATTAATTAAATTCTATCGAAAACTTGAGATTCAGCTGATGAACATTCTGCATGAGACAGGAAATGACGTCAAGGGAAACCAAGCAATAAATGAATGAATGAATGAATGACTAAAATTTTAATGAAAGATTAAAATTGATAATGAATGAATAAATAACTCAAGTTGAATTGTGAATGAATAAGATAATTTAAAATTTACGAATTATAAACAAATGAAAATACATGAATTTCATAAAAATGAATGACTAAGGCCCCGTCCACACTATGCCGGATAAATTTGAATCCGAATTTTTATTTATTCGGTTCCCTTTTGAAAATTCGTTTTTGGTGAAGAATTGTTCCGGATTTGCCCGGACTAATGTGGACGGTAGGCCTAACCGAATGAATAAAAATTCGGATTCAAATTTATCCGGCATAGTGTGGACGGGGCCTAAATAAAAATACAAGAATGAATGAGAGAATAAGTGAAAATGTATGAATCAGTGGTTGAGTGGATTAATAAATGGATAAAGATATTCAGACAATAAAATAATGGGAAAAATAATTGGAAACAAAGGAATGGATGAATGAAGAAAAAAAATAAATGAAAATTTATGAGTGAAATTTATGAGTATTTGAAAATGTGAGAGTGAATGAATAAATGAATGAAAATTAGGGAATAGATTAACGGCTCTATCAGTTAATCTTATCTTTTTCTTTTAGTTTCCAGGCCTGAATTGGGCACAGGTTATTCTAGACTTGGATTATCCAGGGTTTCAAGTACCGTCAGGAGAAGGACTCAAGATACTCATGGAGGCTTGTTCAAGAGGTTTACAGGAAGGTTTTCCAGTTGAAGTGTTGTACAGAACATGGACAAATACCGAGGGACAGGTACAAGATTTTATAATTTACTGTGTTTATTATGAAATATTATATTACACATGGTCAATGTTTTGATTGAGGTATTAAGTGGTACTTGGAAGAGCCAGTAGAATTTTTCAAGAGACCTTCGGCGTAATGTTGTCCCATTTCAGACCACTTGTCATTCCCTTGAGAATAATATTCTTTGTTTGAGTTGTATCCATATTCATGTGCAACCGAACACAAGCCCTAAACAAAGAAATGATACTCTAGGGAATGAATGTGGCCTGAAATGGGAAAACGTGGAGGAGGTCTATTGTTATTTTGTATGTTAAGTCTTTGCTGCCATATTGGTGGTATTTTGTTCTTATCACCAAGATGGCTGCTGCCATGTCTACATCATTTCCTTCTCTTAGAAATCCTTACGAAACATTGAATTTTCATCATCATTGTTGCCATCCTCCTTTTCCTCCACATACTATTCGTCACCATCACCATCATCCTCATCATTGCAGATGATACTAATATTCAACTCAAACTGTTTTCAAGGTACACCATTCTTTTGATGAATCAACATAATTTTTTCCATCTTCCTTTCAGCTATCATGGATTCTCCAGCTGTTAACCCATGCAGATTTATTCTGCTTCACCGATTATCCCTGTGAAGCTGTAATGCTTGATACACTAAAGATTTTACCTGAAGAAGAAACTAGAGAGATATCAAACTGGTAATTCATCAAATCTGTTAGTTGTGTTTCATAACTTTCCTTACCATGTTCATTCCCTGGAGTATCATTTCTTTGTCTAATGGTTGCGCTTCCCTGCTAGCAGAGCCTATTTTCCTTTTGTTTTGGTTGAGAGAGAAAAATAGACTCTGCCGATGTAGGACGTTATTTCTGTCGCGCATGCGTGGCGTAACTTATAGCAACACTGCCATGATTTTGACTGCCGCTCTCGTCAAACAATGTTTGGCGCCACGGTGTGTTACATTTGCTCATGCGCACTACGTGTAATTAGTTAAAAATCGGTTTTGAAACTGGTTTTGTTCATCCGTGTATCAAAGGAAATGCTCTACATCGGCAGAGTCTCCTTCCTCCCAGCCTGAGACTAGCAGGGAATGGTTGAGCATTAGAAGAGACACAAATTTAGATGCATTCAAACAAAGAATCTTGTTCTCAAGCAGTAAACGATATGTCAGTAGTGGGGGAAAATTTAACCCAAGATAAAAAGATCTATTGTTTAATAATATTTTATCATTTTATTGTATTTTCTCAACAGGAAGTCACTGACTCTTGTGGAAACATTATTGCGTCTATCTGAGGCTGGTCACTATGAGAGCGTTAAGAGTATTTTTAGTTTTCCATTCAAGAATTGCCCTGATATTCTTTTCTTTGCTTTACTGCAAGCTAAGGTAAGCATCCTTTATGTAGGTGGTTGTTTTATGATCACCTATTTCCATAATAGACCATTTTAAAATTTGTATGATACTGCTATGATACTTGATTACATGATAATAATAATAATAATTTATTAACTTACTATAGCGCCTTTTAACATTAAAATGATCACGAAAACGATCATGAAAACGATCATTTACATGTACTCAGGCCTAGCCTCATTTTAGCATCAGAATATACACAATTACAAACGGTAAAGTCAGTAAAGAATACACAACTTCAACGATGCAAACACTTTAAAATTCCACGGACCTTCTCTGGAATGCATGAATATTCTTACACGATCATTTACATGTACTCAGGCCTAGCCTCATTTTAGCATCAGAATATTCACAATATTTATTACCAACGGTAAAGTCAGTAAAGAATACATAACTTCAACAATGCAAACACTTTAAAATTCTACTGACCTTCTCTGGAACACATTAATGCATTGTATTCTGCACAGAATTGAGGCAAACCTGAGCAATAGAGAACTTGAAACAGGAGAATTATGTGACCCACAGAATCATCATATTAACTGATCATTTATGATGTATTTTCTATCCACAGCCAACATGGAACACCCTTAGCAAGGAGTTGCTACTTCAGTTGGTACCAATATTCCTTTCCAACCATCCCAATGCTGCCAGCGTTCTACAGTATGCCTGGAATGGACAAGTAAGCCTTGATATTAAAACAGAGTGCACACAATATATCCATTGAACAATATTAACAGCCTCTTATACTGATGGTGCACACAATATATCCATTGAACAATATTAACAGCCTTTTATACTGATGTTGGATTTCATTTCAGAGTCAGTCTATTTCAATACGTCAGATTATCATGCAGGCTATGGCTGACTGGTACATGAAGGGAGATCAAGATCAGGCAAGGTTATCAAGGATCCTGGATGTGGCACAGGACCTCAAGGTATAGATACTATGGAAGTCAACAAACTGGGAATTTGCATCAGAAAAACATGTTATGGTCATGTCTCCAAACCTTTACCACTCTGCTGACAAATATCAAACTTTTTTTGTAAAACCTTGGCATATGTAGCTGAACATACTCCTTGAAAATTCATTTTTGGGTCCTTTTACATGTATACTCCTTGAATAGTACTTTAATTTTAAGTGGTTACCTCAGCATGAACCCTGTCAGTAGCTCATGTGAGTGGAGCTTATTAGGTCTCACATGATTTGTTGATTTTCTGGGTTCTTTGATTTTCCTCCATCTGCAAAACCCAACCAGCTTTTAATTTCCAATCCATGAATCCATACTGTAGGCCTCAAGCATGATGATGTTTTATACCTACGATTCTAGAATCCCTTTTGGTAGCTTTTTTGTTTCATTAATATTCAATATTGTCTTGGTATTCTCAAAGGAGTTTAGACATTAGATTTTGAAAAGAATTATGGTAGTTTAGGTATGAAATGCCATTAGGATTAGGGCAAAGGTATGCCTTGACTTTGATCAGCCTAGAGTTTGCATCAGGGCATCTTTAATACTCAAAATGTTTAAAGATAAATAACAAAAACTGTTTTTCCCCCCAGGCATTATCAGTTCTTCTCAACTTCCATCCTCTACTGTTTGTAATCGACTTAGCTGCTTTGGCATCCAGAAGAGAATACCTGAAGCTAGACAAGTGGCTGAATGATAAGTTAAGAGAACATCAGGTAAATGAGAAGTGATGGCTAATCAGCCTGAGTTTAGGTTCCCTGTGGTAACAATTCCACAGCAAACCCAAATTTTGATTGTTAATAATTCATAAAGGCCTTTTACATGATGGTATCATTTTAATACCACTACAAAAGTCACTAGTCTCGTATACCGGTATAACAATTCTTAATTATACAGCTTCTCATTAATCCCATATAGGTAACTGTCCAATTATTTTCTTAATTGGACAGGTCTTGTTGATATGGGATTAATTAGGCAGCTATATAATTAATAGGTAATGGGATTTCATGCTCCCCAATCAAGAAATAATTAGACTCAAAAAACTGCCAACAGCCTCGGCCTACAGCCTCATCCAATTTTGGAAGTCCTCGGAATTTTCCTCGTCCAATTATTTCTTAATTGGACAACATGGAGTCCTATTACATATACTAATACTTTTACTTTTATTTTGTGCTTTCAGGAAAAGTTTGCAGAAGCTATGATAACTTTCCTGAAGAGGCGCTGCCCTCATTTGACAGGAATCACCCTGGATAAAGAACTACCTAAAAGCATACAGTTACCAACTGAAACAGTCATCGTAATGCTGACCTGTCTGTCAAACATGTAATGTGATTTTTTTATTTATGATACAATTTAAGTGTAGGATTCCTTCAAGTTTCTACAGAACTTGGAAGATAAAACTGTGAACCTTTATTCCCTGCACCCTCCCCCTAACCTTTCGTTTTGTAACTATGAGACAGACAGTCATCACACTGAAAACGCGAAAGTGATGGGTGTCTGGGGTCATACACACTGCTTCATTATGGATAAGCCCAGGATGCAGACACCCATCAAAATATAAAGGGAATATTGTTCATTGTCTAGGTCACATACTTCATTTGATCATATTATTGCATGGAAAATTTGCGCATTACAAATATTAATAAACATTATTATTGTTATTCATTGTAGATAACCTAAACATATTTTTCATTGTAAGCTGTTTAATTTAATTATTAATCATGTTGTCATCTCAACAGCCAAGTTCCTCCTAGTATGGCTGACGTCATTCGGCAGATGATTGCCAATCATGGTCCCCTGACCAAGCCGAGGCCAACACCACAAGCTATTGGTGGAGCATTGTTAAAAAGGCAGGGAAGTCTTGATTCAGCACTCCCAACTCCTCTTACAAGCCAGGTAACATACAGTTGCTTGGTTGGATATTACAAATGTTTCATGCTGTTGCAAGTAGTTGGGCTTAACTTAAATACCTATAGTGTTGTTTAAAAAATTGAATTCTTCAATTGGCATTGTTTATTTTTCCAGGTTGATCCACTTCCAGGGCTTGGACTCTCACACACCACCTCTACACCCAATTCTCAACTCCCCTCCTTCCCACCACACCCTCTCTCCATACCCACGAGTAACCTTGGTGCTGTGGGTAGCATTGGCTCAGGCTTGACTCAACCTATCCAGAAACCATCCTCAACCTCACAGTTCAGTCACCTCGGCATACAGCCTCCTGCTACTTCCAACTCTGGCCTGGGATCATCGCAGAGCCATATCTTCCAGCAGCTACAGCAAGCAGGGCTAGGAGGGACTCTCAGTGGGTCTAATACTGATAGTTATCGCATGTTATCTGGTCTAAACTCTCACAAGCCGTTGGGTAGCTCACTGTTGAATCAGCAACAACAGCAGGTCATGATGGCACAGCAGCACAGGACTCCCACTCCTGAAAAACTAAGACAAGGTTTGTTTTTATTATTGTACTTTGAGAATAGCTTCAAATATTATTATCATTAAATTAAACCTCATTAAACCTCTCGACAAGGAAAGTATAACAACAGTTCACTCACCTCTCACTTCTGGGATCTTGGGTTTGATTTCTTGACTTGGCATCACATTTTTATTAAATCTTTTGCTTAATTTAAGGGTTTTCTTTGGGTTCTCTAGTTCTCCTCCCTCCACTAAACCTAACACTCTAAATTCCAATTTAATCTGTGAGTTAGCCATGCCATGTCTTTGATCAGCCCAGAGGTTGTTTCAGGGTGTGATCTGTGAGTTAGCCATGCCCTGAGTTAGCCATGCCCTGACTTAGATCAGCCCAGAGGTTGTTTCAGGGTTTGATCCGTGAGTTAGCAGTGCCATGACTTTGTCCAGCCAAGAGGTTGTTTCAGAGCATTGATAGAAATTTAATATGTGGATTAAGCTTGTAAGATGTATTATTCTTTCCTTTACTAGGAGGGTTTTTCTCTGATTTCTCTAGTTATACTGCTTTTTTTTTTTAAAAAAAAAACAACTTTATAGATGAAAGTTGTGTGTTTTACAAAAATAATAAACTGCTAAACACATTGCTCACAAGCTATTAGCTATTTTTTATTTATTTTCGAAGCTTTTAGCAATATTTTAACATGAAATATCTTACAATCTTATGGCTCTCCCCACCAGGAAGTGCAAAAGGCTTTAAAATATACATATTGATATATTGTTTCAATTCATATAGCTCCAACCGACGTCTCCCAAGTATGGCCAGGTATGGACCAGTCCTTCAGCAAGGAGGTAGAAGACGAGGCCAACTCCTACTTCCAGAGAATATACAATCATCCACCCAACCCTACCATCAGCATAGATGAAGTGTTGGAGATGCTGAAAAAGTTTAAAGACAGCCCAATCAAGAAAGAAAGGGTAAGAAAAGAAATGTGTGCATTGTAAGGGAGCAAGGGTGGGGTACAAGTAATATTCTCGCCTCTCACTTCTGGGGTCTCTGGTTCAATTTCTGGACTTGATATCACATGTGAGTAGAGTTTATTAGGTCTCTCTCTTGATTTGAGGGTTTTTCCCTGAGTTCTCTGGTTTTCCTTTATTTTCAAAACCAGAAACTTAAACCTAACATGCTAAATTCCAATTTGATCTGTGAGTTAGCTCAACCCAGAGGTTGGTTTCCAGAGGTTGTTTTAATCAAAATGGCATAATCTTTCAAATCAACACTGAATGGGAGCAAGAAACCTGTTTTTAACATGATTTGTTGGCATGTCTTCTATCTGAAATCTGGGTGATTTGCATTTGGTTTAGGTCCAGATTGTTACGTCATTTTGATTGACAGCAGTACAAAATAATTTTTACAACAAGCCAGTGAAATTCACGAGTTTGCAGAATATTGAAAATATCAATAACTGCAATACTCTATTTCCATATACTGACTGTAATTTTTCTCTTGACCAGGATATATTTCTGTGTATGCTGCGTAACCTGTTTGAAGAGTACCGATTCTTTCCTCAATATCCCGACAAGGAGCTGCACACAACAGCTTGTTTGTTTGGAGGCATCATTGAACAAGGACTTGTCACGTAAGAATATAAAGATACATAATGTATCATATTGTACTCTATATTGAAGTGTTATTAAACTTTAAAAAAATGTAAATCCACTTTGTTTAGAGAGGTTGACATACTATGACTGATAAACTTGTGGCCCTCTATTTTTAACGTCTCGGAATGAGTCAGGACTGCCATTTTACATGGTCTTCCAATTCACAGCAAAGGTCTTACCATTTGCAGATATTTTTACAGCAAAGGTAGCACCTACACAGATATTGATTTTTACGACCCTGAATGCTGTTCCAGTCGAGGCTTGAACCCATGCCCTCTCACACAATAGCCTGGTGCCCAACTGACTGAGAAATAACTGGGAGGTGGTTAATTCTGAGCTGAGTAGCACACAACAGTACTAGTCATAATATAAACTGTGCCAGACATTTTTGGAAGTGTGGTATACCCATGTGATTTAACAACAAAAATGAGTACAGTGTATGTGCTAGTTGTTTTAACTTAACTTTAGTTATTTCATTATCATTATAGGTACATGGCACTAGGCATTGCTTTACGATATGTACTGGATGCACTGCGCAAGACTTATAACAGTAAAATGTACATGTTTGGTATTGCCGCCCTGGATAGATTTAAGACCAGGTAACTAAAGATCTGTTTGTCTTGCTTCATGTTATTTCAGCTTTGATAATAGTTACCCTTTATAATGGCTGCATAGATGAAGGTTGGGGGGGGAGGGGGGTGAAATGCATACCGTCACTTGCTCGTCAAGAGCAACAGTACATTTTAGCTGAAGAAACTAGTAACATTGAGTATACTTACACTAATGATTTTAAGGATGTGATGGGGATAGCTATTAAAGGACGTAGACCTGCATCTCAACATCTGGAAGACCCTTGGAAGATATTTGTATTAACTGTGTTCCTCTTGCTTATTTAAAGGTTAAAAGACTATCCACATTACTGTCAGCACCTTGCTTCCATCCCTCACTTCAGGGATTTCCCTTCATCACTGATTGAATACATAGAATATGGACAACAATCAAAAGAACCACCTTTAACAAGCAGAACATTGACACAGGTTAGTCTGACTAGTATAATATCACACCTGTTTGCTGAGCAAGATGTATTAAAACTTCGTTTCATTTTACAGGATCAGCAAGCTTCAGCATGGCTGTCTAACATGGTAATCAAAACCCTTCTGTTTTTTTATTGTGTAATTCCAGAAATCATCCATACCCACCCCACAGAGGAATTTGGAATTTCGGAAGAGTAGGGGGGTCAGAGAAAGAACAAAAATTACAGAATTTGTATGGAAGAAAATTGGAATTTCTGGGGGGTAGGGAGGTGTCTTAAAAAAATTCCTCCGTGCTCAGGGGGTATGGATAATTTTTGGAACTACGCATTCTGACTCATACTAAGTGCTTTCTGAATAAGCCCGCCAATCATGTCGCCCCACTAAGAAGAGCTGTTTAAGATTGGCCAAAACAATTAAAGGTTTTCATTGTTACAAACATTCTATTGTCATGTTTATATTGTTTCTTATTCTATTGTATACACTCAATTGAAGAATCGCTGTCGGGTTCTAATTAACGTACTTCCCATGTGCCATTTCGGTCTCAGCTTCTATGTTCTATGTTTCTGAACCCAACAACAATTCTTCAATTGAGTGTACATCAAATTTGGTAGATCTTAGAGCTCCGACCTTGCTCAAGGTGACAACCTCCACAGCTCTTGTGATTGCTTCAAAGTCCATTGTGGGCTCCTTTTTCTTTTCTATGAAATACCTTCTGTTCCTTGTGTTGGATCACAGTCAGCTACTTCAGACTTATGACCACCTACTCCAAAACATTCTGAAAGCCCTGACACTAGTAAACTGGTTGTCAGCACTTGCTGCAAAGCATGGCTTATTCCATGAAAATATTGAAAATGTTTATCAATGTTTATCGTACCCTTGTAATATTTGAGTCCTGTTACCCTCACAGGATCCAATGGCATCAAGGTTATTAAACAGAACCTCCTTGGGATCAGGCAGTGCTAGCCCAACCTTCACTACTACTGCAGTAGGAAAGCCAGGACAGACCTCAGGTACTTCATCTGGCTCTCCTTCTCCAAAGCCTTCATTAACATCTTCAGGTAGGGATTGATTACAAGTATCATCCTGTATGACGACTTTGTGAGTCTGAAAAATGTCCTTACTCCACCCCCTGTGGATGAAAATTGATCCTTAAACAGTAAATGAGAGACATTAAAGAACCTGTTGAATTGCCCTAATTCACTATGTGCGGGACAGAATCGCCAAATCCAATAGAAAATTCAACAAAATTTGCTCCTAGCAAAATGGCTTAATCTAAATTGACCAGGTTTTCAGATAATTATAATATGTGTTAATATGTACTAAATATTCTGAGCATTTGCTGGCTATTCTACTTCTCTTCGTGGATTGATACGGGTTTTAGAACAATTTTCCGTGAAATTGTGGTGATTTGACCCCGTCCCACGACTATGATCCTTTGGGTTTAAACAATAGATTGTTGAAGATTGTTTTGATGTGACATCATAGTGAAGTAGGGCAATTAATTATTCCTGTAAAAGTAGGGGATTTTCTCCCGATTCAACAGCCTATCCCAATTTTGAGGCTTAACACTAATGTGCAAACAATTCACTCATGATTGTAAGCTGCAGGGTTCCTAATAGTGCTTTAATGTGTAGCCCGTAAAGTCCTTGACTGTTCATAAATGTAAAGCGCATTGAGATGAAATCATTAATAGTGAATTAGTCGAGTTGAATTGTTATTTTCATGTTCCCCAGACTTGACATCAGGGACCGCACGTGGCAAGGAACCATCTATAGCTAATGCCAGTAACATTGATACCCTACTGGGTGCATCAGAAAAGAATGAGATAGCACAACCACCTGAGCATGTACAAGACAAAATACACTTTATCTTCAACAATATATCACAAAGCAACCTCAATACCAAGGTCAGTATTAATGAGGATAGTGATGATAGTGTTGGGGGATTTAGTCAGCCTTATTTGCACTTGTGTATGTCAACATGCGCTCTAATTGGCTAGTATTAATCATCCTATGTGGCTATAAAGAGATTCTTCTAATCAGAGTCAGTTTTGTAATTAAGGAAGTCATTAGTCAACAAGAAAGTAGTAGTGGTAGTGGTTGTGATAATGATGATGATTAACCAGTTTAAAATTCTTGTGACGTAATTATAATAAGTAACAGAGTCTTGTTTTGTTGTAAGTAGATTTATGATAGCTTGTGCGTAACACATTTCTAGCTCATTGTTGTAGAATCTTTTAGGACATTAGGAATCCTAGCAGTCTTGCAATTAACATACAAATATGCATACTTTATGTCAAAGAATTGGAAAATTAGATAGAAAAATAGATAGATAGATAGCTATATATCAAAAGGGTGACCCATTCAGTCATTACAAAGTAAAAAAATTGATATCAAGAGGGACCCTATGAAAGGACACACAGTTTTCGAGGTTGCTGTGATGCATGTTTACTTCAGATGGATGGATTACATAACCCATAAATCAATACCCACTTCAGACACTGTGTTTGTCACTCAACCTCTTCTTGATATAGAAACTAATGAGAACATCCAGTTTTTGTCTAAGCTAAGTTGTTGTTCCATTAACTTGAAGGCTGAGGAGTTTAAGAATGCTGTTCAGTCAGACTTTCTGCAGTGGGTAGCACAGTACATGGTCATGAAGAGAGCAAGCATTGAACCTAATTTCCATCAGTTATACATTGACTTCATGGATGCCCTGGACTCTATGCCAGATTTTGCAAGAGAAATTACTAAGGAAACCTTCAGAAATATCAAGGTATGTCACCTGTTTTAAAAATGATTTTTCCCCTTTTTCCTGTATTTGGTCACTGTATCAACCAATCTCTCAAATTATCAGCCATAAGGCTATCAATGAAATTAAAGTCCCTTACCACAATTTAAGCCCTTAATTGTGCTGCGAGCAATGCAAAGGGTATTCAAGTTCCATATAATCTCATACATGCCTGTCTTTTTTCTTACACTTTTCTCTTCTTCCTTTTTGATTTCTCTCTATGTTTTAAATACCATATGAACAAAGCACTGATAGTGGGAGGGATGAAGGATGCACCATGCATTGACCCCCCCTGTAGTAGCACTGCATAGTGCAAAGGCTTACCTTAATATTTTACATTGTAATTATTTTTGTTGATCTATAGATATGTGCAAGGTGGAGTTTTCTTATTTACTATTAATTTATTTCTTTGTTCAGGTTTTGCTTCAATCAGAGAAAGTCCCTGCCAACTTCTCAGATAGATCCTTACTAAAGAATCTTGGTCATTGGTTGGGTCTCTTGACACTGGCTCGTAACAGGCCAATACTCATGAGGGTGAGTGCTTCAGTTAGCTCTTAGATGGTATAGTAATAACAAAACACCCCTTAATTTATAATTATTTTGATCCTCCATTAGTTTGCTCCTTATTATGTCAAGCCATACTCAATCACAACTGACCAATGAAAAATCATGTTACTTTATTCTTAATGAAGTTAATCTTGGTGGAAGGCAATTCATTTTCTCCATTTTTAGATACACCTTTTTGATTGTCTTTCACCCAGTATGCTTTAAGTTAGTTGAGCAATTTATTGTCTGTTGTGCAGGATATCATGAACTTAAGCCTCATCTTTACCAGATGTTCTAACTTTTTTCTTTAGTTTCTCTCTTCTGGAAAAACTAAGCTTGTGTGTTATTGAGAACAGGTTTGCAGTCTTTCTGTTTTTAATGTTCAATTTAATTAGAATGAGTTATTTTTTTTGGTAGGATCTTGATCTCAAGTCACTGGTTATTGAAGCATACTTCAAAGGGCAGCAGGTATGTGTTAGTGTTGGTCCTTCATTACTTTTAGTTCTCTAACGTTCTTTGATGTTTTCTAATTCCAAACTGTATAGAGTAGAACTTCTGTTAAGAAGTCAGTAAATAACTAAAGTAGACAAACTCTATTTGGCAGCTAGCATGTTTATACTGAAGGAACAGTAAATATGCGCACATGCTGTGTGCAGTTTTAATGCATGTGGGGATTGGGAGGACACAAGATACAGTAAGTGTGAAGAGTGACTGGGTGCTTCTTACACTTTTTGAGTGTTCTGCCTATCACCAAGTGTTTTATATCTGCACACAGCACAGCAAGCAAATTTGTATTTTGTTAATTACAATAACCAACATGTTTTGGCGACTACTTGACATTTCTCTGAAGTAATCTGCATGTGACTGGCTTATTCATTGTCTGTTTTAGGATTTGCTATATGTTGTTCCATTTGTTGCTAAAGTCATGGAATCAGCTGCTAAGAGCAAAGTATTCAAGCCACCTAACCCCTGGATTATGGCTATCATGGCTCTGCTGGTTGAACTACACCAAGTACCAGACTTAAAGGTAATCTAGAACTCAGTAATACTATAGTACTAAATAGTCAGTACCGTGGGTAGCATGTGATGCTATGGCGCTGTTTCTCACTGCTGTGTACTGGTGCCAGTACTGGGGTGTTTGGGTACTGGGTACTGGGATACTGGGATACTGGGATACTGGGATACTGGGATACTGGGATACTGGGATACTGGGATACTGGGATACTGGGATACTGGGATACTGGG